GTGTGTTGGTAATCAGGGCCTGAATTGATCCCTTGCACCTTCTGCTGGGCAGCACAAGCAGCAGCTTGAATGAAGGCTTCATCATGCTATCATTACCGTTACCATGATGAGAGTTTGTCAGGCAAACAGAGGGTGATGCATGGAGTTTTCCAGTCCAACCTCACTGCCCCCCCCACCACCACCACCCAGAAAAAGCAGTCAAGGAAAGGGAAAGGAAATCCTTTCTTCACATTTGCGATCGACCTCTCTTAGTTTCTTTCCATCCAAGTTGGAGCTGAATAGAGACGGAAACAAAAAGGGCACACCAAAACCTGAAGAAATTATTACCACGTTCAAGAGGTCAGATCTGGTTTCCTCCATATTGATCTCTGGAGAGGAAACTGAATGAGGACGTATAAGGCTGAGGCGCAAATGACTTGAAAAGGTCTCTTGCTGGTTCAGGCACTCTACCTGATTTTGTGTTGTGTTAGGTCCTAAGCCGCCTTTTTCTTGTTCCCTCTGCCCCTGACTTGCCTGTCTTGCTGCAGTGGAAAGAAGGGGGCAGAGAACTGGAACCTTTGCCTCTCCTTCTCTAACTCAGCAGTCTTAGCTAGTGTGATAACAGAAAATTCTAAACAGATTAGATTTAGTAAAGAAAATAAAATGTCTGGCCGTCTCTGGAAATATAAAATGAATTCAAAGCTCTACAAAACATAGAGAATCTAAGTAGTATAGTATAATTAAAAGTAAGATATGATTGCTTAGTCTTTAAAACGTCTCATTTGATTTTTACATTATTTAAATCAGCAGAAGACAGTTATAACTTTATGTATCAAGCTGTTATTTTTCTTCCCAAAACTCAAGAAAGGGTTTTCAGCCTATTTCAAATATTTGTTTCATTGTATCCCACTTTTCAGTCTAACCATTTCTGTAAGCTTTGAGAGCCTAGCAAACTTACAAATTGTATTTGCCCATGTCTTTACAGGTGAGGTTTTAGAACTTTGCCATTGTTGAGCTATAATTATTTTTGAGGGAGATAATAATGCTGATGCTATATTATAGTGTCTAGAAGCAACGTGGTCATTCCTACAGATCTGCTGTGTAAATGTTAACTTCTTCCCTTCACATGGCTTAAGCCTAGTCATTAGTAAAGTGTGCGCATAACTATATCTAATTGTATTTGCAATTATAGAACATTTAAGTAGTGTTTCCTTTTGTTATTGAGCCCTGAAACCATCTACTCACATGGCTAGATCAATGTAAATACATTCTGTCTGGCAAGCCAAGTTAAAAGATAAAATCTACTCACCTGACCTTTCATGAGATGTGGCCATTCCAAAGCCTGCATCATATTCTTAGCCTGCCTTCAACAGCAGTATATTTTTAATTGCTGTAGTTTTCTTTCTTAGTGATTGGCTGGCAGACATTGGCGGCAGTCAGATGTCAGACTTTGTGCAGTCTGACTGTGCCTCTAATTTATCCGGTGTTACTTGTTCTGGAGAGTTTCATCCAAACACTCCAACCTTATCCTGCCTCACTGTGTGCTCACCCCATGATTGACCGTTCCGATTACTGCTGCGCAATAACCACAGAGTGGGTGCTCAGGTGGCATCCTTTTTAAAAAAAATTGTTTTATGGGCATGCGCAGAAGAGCTTATTTGAAGCACTGCTCCTTTTTGACAGCTCTGCAATCCTTTCGTCAAATACTGTGATCATTGTTTCCTATACAACTGTATTTCTCCACAAAATCACTCCCTTTCCTGCCTGAACTTACTTGTTTTTCCACTCATTTCATAGGGAAGTTTTCCCTTTTTCTCTCTACATAGAACTTTCCCATCAGAGCAATATTATGAAGTGGCTTGGAGTAAAGTTCTAGGGGCAGAATTGTGGCTGCCAATATGAGAGCCTAAATAGGGGCTATTTCCACCACTGTCCCACCCCGAGAAATGGCAGAAGGGGGCTTTTTTCCTTGAATTTATTGCTCAAAAACAACCCCCTCCCGGGGGCTCCCGATTCCAACAAAACATTGTGGCACATAAACACACAAGTAGAGCCTCATGACCCTGTGGCAGAGGTCTGCTTGTGCACATATCACTAACTGAATAAAAAATGGTGCAAAGACAGAACTGTGTGGTCAGACTTCCCAAATGGCTTGATTTTGTAAGAGAGAGTTCATCAGGAAATGCGTGGTGAAACCAGTTGAATCCATAAAGCTTGGACTTTCTCCAGTGTCGGGAAAGTTGGGGGTGAGAACAGGGGGCCAACGACTCCTGAATGAGATGGGGATGACAAGGCTGTCTGAATGAGTATTTGAAATCCAGAAGGGAGAAGTGACGACATCAGAGCAAACAGCTCATCTGATCGCAGCCATTGATATATTCATTATTAGATGTATATATTCATTATTAGATGTATATATTCATTATTAGATGTATCTGTAACCTGATCTTTTAAAATATGAGTCAATAATGTCCAGTTTCATTGCTATAAGATTGAATTTAGATATCACAATAAACCATAATTTGATCAAAAAGTGGTTTATAAAACTGTGGCTTATTGTGATGTTTGACTGCCAGTTGCCTAACAAACTGGGTTATTGATGGGTGCTAACCCAAGCTTATATATCCTAACCCAGTCTTGTGGTTAATACTAGCAGTGATATGTTGTGATAGCTGAATGCTGCTACCACAGCTTGTTCAGTATACTACACTTTTCAGTCTCCTGAATACAAAGACCATAGCATGAAGCAGGAAGAATTTTGACCCTGCTGAATTCAGCTAAGAATTGAGCTTTCTCAGGATTCTCTTACTCTCTGTATTCTCTTCTCTTCTCCCTCCTCCTGTAGTGAAGACTCTCCAGCCATCCCATGCAAAGGAGAAATTTTAAAAGTAGCATGATCAAAGTTCTTGTTTACTCACATATTTTTATGCAGTCCTCCAACATCCACAATAGAAATTGCTACACAGAAAATAGCATTAGTCAAAATTAGTTTACCACTCACTCATATAGAGAATTTCCCCTATTATATTCTAAGAGGGTGACTGCATGAGTGGCTAAGGGAGTATGTGTGTGTTTTACTCAAGGTCCCCCCCCCCTTCCTGGATTTGGCAATTAGGGAATTTGGCAGAAGAGAAATCTGTATGAGAGAGGATGCTTTAAAAATGTATTTTGCTTCAAAGTTAAAAGGCTTAAGGATACAATGAAATGGCTAGTCAAGGGGAAAGGCAGGGTGATTTTGGTGAGACCAAGGAAGAAGGTAAAATATATCAAACTTCCAGAAATTTTAAAGGCGGGGAACATAATTGAAATATGTGCAGTACTTATTTTCTTGTAAGGCTTAAACATATTTTACTGCTTTAACAAAGTAACATGCATTGATTATAACTTAATTAGCATATAAAATCGTGCTATTTGGCATATTTATAAAATTTATAAATATCTTAGTTTTTCTACATGTAAAATTGAAAATATACCTAGTACTAAAAAGAGAGCTACAAACTGTTGCACCATATGGTACCTTACCGCATTTATCTTAATTTTAGCCGTCTGGGAGGTAGGAGAAAATGTAAGGTGAAAATAGGGAAAAAAGCATTCTGTACTTAACAGAAGAAGGTATGTTATTTGGATAAAATCAGTCTCATACAATCACAATAGGGTCTAGTAGCTTATATGGATATCTAGATCTATACATCTAATAGCGAAGGCGCCCCCTGCGTATGGATATCTAAATCCGCACATCGGGGGCACCTGAGGGGCAGGGAGATTTTCCTGCACACTTGGGGCAGTCCCCAGGTGTGCACAAAAATCTAAAAAGTTGAAAAAAATATAGGGGAGATATTTAAATCCCCCCAAAAGTAAAAGAGCTTTTCCTGCACATGCGCAGGGAACGCTCTGGGAACTCTGCGATGGGCCGGCAGCTGGAAGCCCCTCAGGCCTCACTGCTGAAGCCGAGGCGGGGGGAGAGGAGAAGGAGACTGGCCGCCGGAGCCGGAGGGGGGGAAGGAGATCGTGGGGGGGAGATTGGCGCGGCCCGGCGGCTGGAAGCCTCTCAGGCCGCGCCACCAGAGCCAAGGCTGGGCGGAGGAGGAGACCAGCTGCCAGAGCTGGAGGGGGAGGGAAGGAGACCAGCGGAAGGTGAAGGAGCCGGGGGGGGAGATTGACGGGGCCCGGCAGCTTGAAGCCGCTCAGGCCACGCTGCTGGTATCCGGGGACTGGGGGGGAACAGGGCTTACCTGCTGCTGCTGCTGCCTCCTGCTGCTGCTTTGCGTGGAGCTCTTTCCCCCCCCCCACGAGTATCACGGGTCCCCTTTATTGTAAACTTTGTAACAGTGACTTTATGTAATTTAAAATATATTTACCACTTATTTGAGAAGAACTCCTTTAAACAGATACATCTTTGAGAATATTGTATATGTCTGTACCATTATCTAATGCTGCAGATTGACTTGCGTAAATATCTTCACATTACACCTTCTGAATGAGTAAAACCTTGGCTTCAAAAGCATTTCTTTTAAGAAAATATTTCATAAGAATTTTCAAATTCTGGGGGTGGAAATGGGATGGTTGTTGTTGTTTTTTTTAAAATGGGGAATGGGATTTTTCTTTTCAAATGTTACTTTCTCTCCCCACCCCCCAGCCTTTACATCTCTGTCTATGCCCCCCCCTCCTCCCTATTTTAGCCGAAAACAATAGCAAGCAGTCTGGATACATTGCGAGATTTGCCAGCAGCTTGGTGATGCAGGGGAGCTCAGGGATGGCATCTGTGGATTCTCTGTAGAAGGCAGGAAAGGAAGCAAGCTGCATACTAACTGGGATTTACAAACAAACTGGTCTGGCTTTGTGCAGGTGTGGGGTTTAAACAAGCCACTGGTTACTGTGATAACTGAACCCTTGAAGTGCTGAGTCTCAAAGCAGGTTTAACCTCTACAGCCATCACGTCACAGGAGGAGGAATGTGTCAGCTCTGGTTCATAGGATTGTCAGTGCTTTCCCTAAAGCAAGTACAATTTTTCTCTGTTCTAGATGTGAACGGTTAGAAGAGCAGCTGAATGACCTGACTGAGCTCCACCAGAATGAGATTCTCAATTTAAAGCAGGAATTGGCCAGCATGGAGGAAAAAATAGCTTATCAGTCCTACGAGCGAGCCAGAGACATTCAGGTTGGTGAAAGGAAGAAGACCCACACACACACACATATCCCATTCAAATATTGGGATGGTTGAATGTGTGTGTATTAATCCCCCTGATCAGTGGGATTGGCTTATTGTGCTCTAAAGCCCTAACTTCCTTTTTAGCTCCATTGTTCAAAACAGTCGGTCAACCATGCTCTGAAACAAGCCACTGACGTGATTCAGATTTAATGACAAGCCAGGGTTTGTTGTTAATTAAATCAGCCTGGGGATCCTCAAGCTCATATGCTCTGTCCCTCCTTTCCCACTCAATAATCAGAGCTTCCACTTTTACTGCAGAATAGGGCTTGTTCTCAAATCTGATCTAGTATTTGGAATCCTGATTAGAAGGAACGAGCAAACTGTAGTCGTTTTATGGTATTGACATAATGACAAATTCTGGCTTTCATTAAAGCAGCATTGTTTTATTATCAAGCTATGGCCAGACAGCGATGGAAGAGAGCATAGAAGCCGATGGATCATCCAGACTCATTCATGTAATGATAAACCACCTAGGCCATGCTATTTTATACCGTCTGTTTTTACCTGTTCTTCCTGGTTCATACTAATCTGCTGACTGATATAAGGACTTTTGCTGCCTATAGTTCAAGCAGGAGCCTTTCTCCGTATGTGCAGGGAAGGGGGGAGGGTTAAAAGGCTGTGCCAAGAGCTTGTTCCTTGTCAGCTGTTAGCAGGATGTGCCTGTCGTTAATTTGAATGCATTCGACATAGATGTCGAACTAAAAACAGTAAGCTGCCTTTATATGTCTACTCTGCCCATCCAGGAAGCAACCTATTCTGTTTTTCTTGCCCATATAAGGAGGCATTCGATGGAAAGGTTTGGTCTGCAAGTAAAGTATTTGAAGCCAAAAGCCTGGGGAATTAGATTGAGAGAGCTGCAGCTGCAGAGCAAACACTAGGACCACATGCTGCAGTTCAACAAATCCATTTGTAGTGCATTTGCTCATGTATTGAAGCCCAGAGGATCTTTGCAGGAGATACAAGAGACTGGGAAACACACTGTGAGGAACTAACTAAATGTGAGGGCAGCAGCCCTGAGTGCTAGAATGCAAGTCTGCCACACGGCAGTGTCACGTGCAGGGGGGTGCAAGAGTGAGGGAGATTTTGATTTCAGCCAAAAAAGCAGCAGGCCAGAGAGCCCTTTTCCCCTCTCCCGCAAGTTGCTTTCCAGAGTAGAGCAGACATTTTATGGGGTGATAGGAAACAAAAACACATTAAACAATCCAGCCAGTGCAGTCAGTAAAAATGAGTTAAACACTGAAAATGGAGGAACAAATAAAACTTCATAATGCACTGATGATATCCTGGGCAAGTGAAAATGTTTTCATTGGGTGAAGTTGTAGGTGGGGAGAGCACTCCTCCAAAGCCAAGGCACCACCACAGAAAAGGCCATTCAGGACCTCAGACACCCAGCTTGACTAGTGAGCAGGTTTATACCCAGAAAAACATCAGCCTTGCAGTAGGGCAAGGGAAGCGTGGAAGAACACAGTCACCAGCAAGTGGGTAATTATAGCCGTGTACTGTCACTTCCCATTATTTTGCCATTTTGGGGGTTCTTGCAACTTAAAAAAAGAAAGCTTTGTTGCTTCCCCCTGCTGTCTCATTCTATCACTACTCAGTCTGAAAGATCAGGTACCTTCGTCATTGACAAGGCAGAAGCTCTCTGTATCATTCTTCTTTGCATTCAGACTGAGCAGGAGTTGAGGGATTTCCAAATCCCAGGCTTGAAATGATGCCCTAAAAGAGCTACTTGACCAGAAAAAGTTAAACATTGATGGGTGTAATCATGACTGAAGTCTTTAGACTATGAAATGTCACCATTATAGGTCAGTTGCATGAGACATAAGCCATCACGCAGGAAATTACGTTAGGGAAATTTAGCTGAAAATGTAGTTGCCATTCCTCAGAGAGGTAAGGTACTTTGGAACACACCAGGGAGTTCCTGGGATTCTGGCAGCCACCTGCTTTCTCAGAGAAGACAGCCATAAAATGCATCAAGAGATTAGAGAGCAAAGACAGAACAACTTGCTGTGCTTGCCAGAGAGGGCAAGATGGACAGCTGTTATAAAACATGATCCGGGTATTGAGATATGTGGGGCGTGTGCCCTAAGTGATTGGGAGATTGGGGTTCATCTCCCCACATGAGAGTGAGTTCCCTAAATCTGGATTGAGTAGAGGCTTTCTGCCAGCAGAGACAGAAAGGGTTAAAAAGACTGATGACATCTGCCAGTCTTTGCTCAAATGCTGGAGGTCGGATTCCCCTGCAGGAAGCTAGGGGGCTAGGGTGTGCATTTGTTTCACAGACATCTTGGGGGGGGGGTTGGCAGAGGTAAATCTTCTATATGGTTAAGTTTAGTATAGTGTTATGTTTTCCTGTTCTTTTCATTAAATATGTGACCCAGTAGGCACAATAACTAGGAGCTGCGGTGGCTCAAGTGGAAGGTCAGTAGTTCAGCAGTTCGAGACCCGAGTGTGCCGCATGACGGAGTGAGCTCCCGTCTCTAGTTCCAGCTCCTGCCAACCTAGCAGTTCGAAAGCAAGAGATTGCAAGTAGATAAATAGGTACCACTTCGGTGGGAAGGTAACAGCGCTCCGTGCGCCTTGGTGTTTAGTCATGCCGGCCACATGACCACGGAAACGTCTTCGGACAGCGCTGGCTCTTCGGCTTTGAAACAGAGATGAGCACCGCAACCCTAGAGTCGGATTCGACTGGCTTTCGAGCAAGTGAACCTTCACCTTCACTTCAGGCACAATAATATTTCCCCGGTCTTGTGCTCTAGGTTAATCTATACCAGTAAAGTTTTCCTGTTTGAAGACAGCAGATTGTGATTTGAAGTCCTCCTTGTACACCTAGATCACTCGCTCACGCTAAGCATGCTTAAATATGCACACGCAGGAGAAAGGCCGCCTTTGCTAGTGTCCCCCAAGTCACTGGCAACATGGGAGGATGGATCTTTAACTTGGGGTGGTGGCACAGAGAAGAGGAACATACTCCACATGCACACGAACACGCAGTATGCAGGGCGGGTTTATGACATTGGTGACCCTTAGTCTTGAGTGACCCTGGAGGATTTCAGTCTGCCCTCGTGTCCCCCGGGCTCCAGTATTTGTGACAGCAGGGACCATTGGCTTTGAAAACATGAAACAGAAAATCCTCCAGCCTAATTGCTGATGATGAATCATGTAAGCGATCCTGCCACCAAATTGGGATCCCCCTGCTCATAGTGCATTAACCAGGCAGAAGTCTAGTGTATGCCACATGAAGACTTTGCTTTTCTTTGGCTTTGAAGCCAGCAGGAGTGACTCATATCCTGCAAAGTGTGAATGAGGGACCAGGAATGCAGACACCTCATACTATCTGCATCCGTATTTCCCAAGCCCTTTAGAGGGCATGCCGGTTCCCATGCTTTGTCACTACCCTATGTGTCAGCCCCCTGAAGCTTTTGGCACTTGGTTCACGTATCACCACACTGGCCAAACCCATCCAGGGCTGGTGTCAGCATACCCTGAAGTGGGGCAGCTGACAGGGCCCGGGGCTTCTGGCGGGGCCCACCCCTGTCACATACACACCCTGCCCACTCGCTGGCACTCCACCACCTGTGCTCCCAGATGCTTGCGTTGCCCTTGCCACCGGGGAAGGGGCTGCAGGCAGTGCGGGGTGCAGGAGGCTGTGAACATTGGCAGTGGTGGTAGGACGCACGGGCAAGTGGAAGGCATGTGTATAGGAGGGAAAGAAGGAGGATGTGAGAGGAGGGCCTGGGCGGGTGAGCAGAGGAGGGGAGGGGGGGCCAAGAACTCTCTGCCAGGGCCCCCAGAACCTGGAACCGGCCCTGAACCCATCCATATGTGTCTTGCATCCTACTTATGGCCAGACCTTACCACTTGGGTAAAAAGGTACTGTAAGGTGTGACTTGACTTCTCACTGTCACAGAATATTTAAATGCAATTGGTGTGTGTACACAGTGATGCACTGTGCGATTACTAAACTGTCCTGTTCTGCTCCACAGGAGGCATTAGAGGCATGTCAGACCAGAATCTCAAAGATGGAACTGCAGCAGCAGCAGCAGCAAGTTGTCCAGTTAGAGGGCCTTGAAAACGCCACTGCCAGAAACCTTCTGGGCAAGCTCATCAACATCCTCTTGGCTGTCATGGCTGTTCTGTTGGTCTTTGTCTCCACCGTGGCTAACTGTGTAGTCCCCCTCATGAAAACTCGCAGCAGGACGTTCAGCACTTTATTTGTAGTGGTCTTCATTGCCTTTTTGTGGAAGCACTGGGATGCCCTTACTGGCTACTTGGAACGATTCTTTTCACCCCCTAGATGATGTCAAGAAGAACCGGCTGTTGCCCCACCCACTCCAGTTTGCTCTGGCAAGTGAGCGCGGCAAAGCTGAGTCAGCAACTCCTTCCTCCACTGAAGTTTTAAAGTGTCAGAGTGTGAATTTGTTTACAGTTTAAAAAAAATAACGTTTTCTCTCTATGAGATGCATTGGCAATAGTATTTTTTAGATTTTATTCAAGAGCTCATTTTTGGCAAAAATCCTGGATAATTTTTATGTAGCATGGTTCTCTTTGGATGCAAATCTTAAGATTCCTTAAAGTGTACAAAATAAAAAAACACCGATTTGGAGCACACCAATGGGCAATTTAAGTTACGGCTTGAACTACTGTACTAAACCTGTTGGGAAGAGGAGAATATGGTTACATAAAGCATAACAAAAGGTTAACCTAGTGCACAGCCTCGTACAATGGTACTGGACGATCCCATAACGCTACTGTGAAACCTGACCACATTCCATGTCCGAATGTCTAGCTTCAGGGAGGCTTTCTCTAATCGAAGATCAATACAATGCGTGGAACTCCCTGGATTTCTTGCTAAGTTGGCCTCGTCTGCTAACATGGCTGCCACTTTTTTTTCCTGTAAGGCCTGCTAAACTTTTTGGCTAGGTATATGAAGTGGATGAATAATACCGTTCAGTAACTGCACAGTTGTTCTACAGTATTTTGAAGTAGCCCTTTAAATACTTTAAGCAAAAGCCCTTGGTTGCACTTTTACAGTTTTTTAAAATATGTATAGTCAAAAATCCGAGCGGCATACTTGAAGAGTGTAATACTCAAACTCTCAGTGCTTCCTTATTGTTTCTAATAGGATTTTTTATTGTTGTTATTGGGGGTTGTTTTTGAACTTAGGGATTGGGAGGGGGTTGTCTTTCTCTCTTTTTCCCCCCTTTAAAAATAAAGAAGTGATGTTCTTAAATGAAGAAATGTGTGAATAAGTGTGAGGTGTCTTGTCCTGAAACAGTTTTGAGGAAGGCAGAAGGCAGCTTCTAGCGACACCCAATCAGAAGCAATTTTTGTGTCATCCTGCAACTTGCAGATGCAGCATTGGGGGCGGGGGGGATCCTCTTTCGCCTCTCAGTCTTTGCACAGTTTTCCTTCTTCTTTTTTAGGGGCAAGAATTAAAGCTCTGGATCTGTAGCATCCAGACTCAGAATATTTCCATGAGAAATAACGATACCCTTGTTTGTCTTACAGAGATGAACAGTGACTTTTTATTTTAAGCAACCGAGAGAGCGAGCTGAAGTTCTGTTCTGAGAAAATAAATTGGTACTTGGGAGTCTCAGTCTCACTTGATAATCCATAGGATTTAAACTCTCAGATTAGACTCCTGCATGCCAAAGTTGAGGTTGTTGACTGGATGTCAGCTACCCCATAACTTAAGATCTAGTCAAGAAGTGACCCTGGGCCTTTAAGGAAAAAGTAAATGCTGAAGGATGTGATAGGTCGAAAACCCAATCCCTTAGACACTGTTGGATTTAATTTATTATTCAGATAAACTCCCCTGTAACTGAAACCAAAGTTGCCCTGTTAACAAATCCTAGCAATGTTCATTGTTGGTGTGTTTGTGTTTTGCACTCTTCTGTACATCTTGTGCCCATATCATATATTTCAGAGCGAGCCCCCCCACACACACACACAAGTTGTAATACGCAGTCACGGTTCATACATTACCGAGAAATAAGGAAGACTAGAATCACCAACGGTTTATGTTGCTTTCCCCCGCCCCCTCTGTTGCTCATCACACTTTCCTCTGTTTCTAGCTTGCCAAGTAGGGACTCCTGCATCTTTTGTAGATGGCTCCCACCGGGACTGCCAAATCTCACGTTTGCAGTGCTCACTTGCGTTTTAGGGAACGGGGCAAGGAGATGACATCAGCCACTTCTGCTTTTTGGTATCACATGAACTGGGCTTTAGGAGTGCAAGAATGTTGGTAGTATTTGTGCATCTTCAACCATTGTGTCCCTGTCTTGCTGGGGGGGGGGGGGTTGGTTTGTTTTTTAGTTGACTATCAGGCTTTATAGATGTATATGTAATAAAGACTAATTCTTAATTCTGGCTGTTTCTACCATGGAACGTTTGGGGGAGGGGGGGGAGACATGATTCTTTTACATTGCTGGAATTTAATTGTTGTGATTCACCCTTGGCCTGTGTTCCCTCTCAGAACCTAATAATGCCCAAGTGACCTAAAAAAATGCACAATACTGAGTTCAGGAACTCTTGTTGTGAGGGCTTTTCCCCTCCAGAACGGTGGTGTTGCCATCTCCTTTGTGCTCATCAACAGAACTCGCTCTTTTGATAGCTAACAGCCAGCAATAGGAAATCTTCCCTATGTCCCCACTCGTCACTCAAGAGATCCAACATATCGCTTCCATAATCACAGCTCTTTAAATACTCAGGTTCCTTATGCCTCACTGTCACTGGGTGAATATCAGCTTGATCTTTGACGTGGTCTCTATGCTTCACTCCCATGGGATCTAGTGCGCATGTGCTGGATCGATCGGCATTGTAGCAAGCTCTTTTAACGGATTTTCGCGCCCAGACGTCGAGCATGCGCAGGAACCCCACCGCGCATGCCCAGAGGGGAGGGCACAGACATCCCACCAGTTCCTTTCTTACCATTGCGTTGGAAAGACCTTTTTCTTCGTCAGTCTGATCGGTTCGCATGTTTTGGCTTTTTGCCTCACGGCTCTTTGGATTTTTTCCTCAATTTATTCCTTTTCTTCGTTGTTCTTTCAAAAAACTTTTTAAAAAAACCTTTTATTTTCTGCTGAAGGGGAGGTTGCTGCTTTACCTCAGTCGGGCCTTCAGGCTACCCCCCCCCCCTTCTTTCTTCTTCATTTTGGTTTTTATGGAGAAGAAGTGGGGCTTTTTTAATAGGTGCAAGGGTTGCGGTAGTAAGCTTGCTCCTCCTGACCATCATACCCTTTGAATACTTTGTCTCGGAGAGTCTCATCGACCCGAATCCTGTCGCCACTGTGCTCGCTTTTCAAACCAGACCCGAAAAAACTGAGCTGCGCGTCTTAAAGTGGCCCTGCTAGAATCGGCTCTACATCCTTCCTCAGCGATGGACGCCGAGAAACCATCGACATCAACGGCTCCAGCATTGAGGCCTGCCTCCAATATCGGCCAACTGACACCAAAGCCTCTGGCATCGAAGGCGCAATCCTCCGCTTCCACGCCGGTGAAATAGAAGTCCAGGCCAAGTAAGGAGCAAAAGTCCGCAAAGAAGGGCTCTTCCAAACCCCTTAAGGCGGCAAAGAAGGGGAAAGTAGCGGTGGCTGCACTGGGTGATGCCCCTAGAGTGTCTCCCGCTCCAACGACTGTATCGATACCAGAAGCCCAAGTCCCTGTACCGATACCGACCATCCATGTCTTGGACTCCCCTATCCACCAAATGGAGCGTCCTTACTCCGACATCGAAACGGTAGAGCTCCTAAGTCATCAAATGGATGCAGAGCCTTCTCCGTCTCCTTCCTCGTCGTCGACAGTATCGGAAGCTCCCGACATCGATCCACGTCGGCACCGATATGCTTCATGCGACACGGAGCGAGCGTCACCCTCCATGTCTACACAGTCAATCTGTGGATATCGACAACCGAGATTACGCGGGCTCCTCTCAAAGACATGCTGCCGCTTTGTCTCTGAGACGTCCATGGTCCAGAAGTCGATCCCCACGAGTCTTCTTACCCCCGCCACCACCTCTGTCTTGGGATCAACGACAGATGAGGTATCTGTATGGGGCTTATCTACCATCCTTGCCATGGCTGACTCCGGTGAGCTATTCCGACTGGGATCGATATTCATCCCACTCTGCTCATAGATCGAGATGTATGTGTATGAGATTGACTGTGTAGACGTGGAGGGTGACACTCGCTCAGAGTCTTTCAAAAGGAGGGCATGGTGTTGGCAAAACAACAAATAAACACTTCAAAGCATGCCCTAGATGCATCTTCCAGGACAATGGCCTCTGCTATACCATTCCTGGCTCCGCAATATGGCATTCCTGGCTCCACAATACGACTCTCCCTCTGGATACCAGGTCTTATGTTGAAGATCTTCCATTTGACAGCCTTGGCCTCTTCAACACCACTACTGATTCCACACTCCAAGAATTAGACAAGAGCATAAAGGCTTCTCGAGCTCTAGGACTGTCACCCTCAGCGAGACAACAATACCATCCCCATACCTGGTCAAGGTCTTGGCAGAGGCGTGCACCAAGTCGTCAGTCTCCAGACAGACAATGGAGACCGCATACGTCTTCGGAAGGTCAAAAACCTCAATACCAAAAACCAAGGTTTGGATCTGGGCAACAATCTTCCCGTACCAAACAGGTCAAACTCTCCAAGCAGAGTTTTTTACTTCCCTGTCACCGAGTCAGTTCAAACCCGTCTATCACCCTTCCTTCATACTTGGCGTCACATCACCTCGGACGAATGGGTGCTGTCAATCTTGACCCGAGGCTACCGTATCCAATTCCACCAGAACCCCATTACTCCTGTCATCATCTCCACACCCCCTTCCCTACCTCTCCTGGAAGAGGTGTCCGTCCTTCTGCAGAAGAGAGCCATCGAACAGTTACCACCACACCTCCACGGGACGGGATTTTATTCCCGATACTTCACAGTCCCAAAGAGAGATGGAGGCGTTTGACCCATTTTAGATCTAAGGGCACTGAACTGTTTTGTAACCTACCACCGCATGGTGTCCTTACAGCAGATTATGCCACTCCTACGGAAACACGTCTGGATGGCCACCCTCAACCTCCAAGACGCGTACTTCCACCTCACCATCCACCCCTCCCACCGCCAATACCTACACTTCGCGATTGGTCAACAGCATTACCAGTATGCAGCCCTACCATTCGGCCTGTTTTACAGTCCTCACGGACAATACCACCATGCTCAGTTATATAAACAAACAAGGAGGCACGGTCTCCCTATGTCTCTGCAACCTCGCCATTCAGTTATGGAACTTCTGCATTAGCCACACACGTCCCAGGTCACCTGAATGTGCAGGCAGATCATTTAAGTCAAGCAAGACTCAGTCTCCACAAGTGGGAGATGAACCCGTCCTATCTTTTCCCGCTCTTCTGCAGGTGGGGATCTCCCCAAGTCGATGTTTTCGCCACCAGAGCCAACAAAAAATGTCCCCAGTTCTGCAGTCGAGGCGGCAGGGACTCACAATCGCGCGGAGACAGTCTCCTTCTTCCATGGTCCTCAGGCCTTCTGTACCTTTTCCCTCCTTTACCCCTACTTCTGAGAGTGGTACACAAGATCATCCGAGACGGAGCAGACTGCTTGTTGATAACACCGTGGTGGCCAAGACAACCATGGTTCTCCACAGTCCTCGAGTTGTCAAGGGGAATGTACCACCAATTCCCTCTGGTACAGGACCTCCTCTTCTTGTCAGACTCCCCTCATCACGACGTACCACACTTGAAATTGACAGCGTGAAGAATAATGTCAAAGGTTTTTCAACCCGTGTAGCCAGTGTTCTACTGAACGCCAGGAAACCTGCTACGCGAAGGTCCTACCATTATAAATGGCAACGATTCTGTTCTTCCCTAGGTGATGATGCCCCTCAAGCCTCCTCCGCAGACCTCGAGATAGTTTTCCAATTCCTCCTGACCCTAGCTGACTCAGGACTTTCCCATTCATTGTTAAACGTTTATTTGGCCGCAATTTTGGCCTACCATGTTCACGTCGACGGATGCACCATGTTTTCACATCCGCTTTCAAAACGTTTTTTAAAAGGTTTGTTACACCTCTACCCTCCTGTCAAAACTCCTGTTGCTCCCTGGGATCTTCCTCTAGTCCTTCATCAACTTACGAGGAAACCCTTTGAGTCATTCGCAACTTGTGATATGAAATTCCTGTCTTGGAAGATGGCCTTTCTAGTGGCCATCACCTCTGCAAGGCGAGTTAGAGAAATACTGGCTTTCAGGCATGACACGCCATATTTGTCCTTTTTGCCAGACGGCATCCGCCTAGTCCCTGACATTTCGTTCCTGCCAAAGGTAGTGTCAGAGTTCCACCTACAGGCAGAGGTCTTCCTCCCGGATTTCTTCCCAGCTCCGAAATCCCCAGAGGACCTTGGATGTCAAAAGGGCACTACTGTTCTACCTCAACAGAACCCGCCCAACGAGACGTGACTCCCAACTGTTCATCTCATATGCACCAGTGAGGCTGGGGACTCGCATCATGGCTCAACGCCTCTCAAAGTGGATTGCGGGTCTCATCCACCTCTTCTACTTGATTGCAAAGCAGCTGTTGCCTGGCCCCATCAAGACCCATTCAACTTGGGCTGTTGTGGCTTCCACTGCCTTCCTCCAGGGAGTACCCCTGACGGACATCTGCAAGGCTGCTACCTGGGCAACGCCTAACACCTTTATGAGGCACTACGCCCTAGACGTCCGTAAGAACTCCTAATACCAACATGGGACGTCACATTCTATCTTCAGCAATGCAGTAAGGACCTGCCAGCACCCCCCTCCAGGTAGGCCACTGCTCGCTAATCTCCCATGGGTGTGAAGCACAGAGACCACGTCGAAGATAAACAGGTTGCTTACCTGTAACTGATTATCTTCGAGTGGTCATCTGTGTATTCACACCACCCGCCCTCCTTCCCCGCTGCTGTCAGCTTCTACATTTTCAATAGGGGTTGATTTGCGGTGGTTTGAAGGAACTGGCAGGATGTCCGCGCCCTCTCCTCTGGGCATGCGCGGTGGGGTTCCTGCACATGCTCAAGGTCTGGGCGCGAAAATCCATTAAAAGAGCTTGCTACAATGCGGCTCAATCCAGCGCGTGCGCACTAGATCCCATGGGTATGAATGCACAGATGACCACTTGAAGATCATCAGTTACAGGTAAGCAACCTGTTTTTCTTGTAAGGACATAAATTGCCAATTTCAACACTCAAGCCAAAAAGAAACATTTGTGTTCTCCTAGACTTGCAGAT